TTTTTTTTTTTTTTTTTTTTTTTTTTTTTTTTTTTTTTTTTTTTTTTTTTTTTTTTTTTTTTTTTTTTTTTTTTTTTTTGTGTCACCCTGTAAACAAAGCCAATGATTATAGCAGTCCCGTCGTTTTGAAAAGGAGCCGTTTTACTAGAATTTTTTTTTTTTTTTTGTCTTTTGAGAGGGGAATTTATGAGAAAGCAGCTACTGTCACAAGTTAGGGCCCCTTTACACTGGACGGCGTCCTTTCTGCGTCCAGCAGTACGGGCCCATTTGAGAGTTAAAAAATTATAATACGTTACGTGCCAACAACTGGCCGATCATTGAGCATTCATTCTGATACAAAATCAATGCTCGTGTCTCCTTATTTAGACCACAGAGATGCCAAATTTCATGGTCGCAGAAAGGACGCAGAAAGGACGCCGTCCAGTGTAAAGGGGGTATTAGCAACATATATATTCTGTTCGACCTTGCTGCTACCAGTTGACAAGCAATTACTACAGTCCTGCAACCGGTTTTCAATCACCAAGTGGTTGCAGACAGGTTGTTTATCGCTCGGCAAACGATGTGCAACTGGTAACCTATAACTTGAAGATGGTCTATACGAGGTTGCAGATACCATACTTTTACTTCATGTTCAGTTATGGTAAAGTCAAGTTCAGTGAACAAGTTATGCTTAGGGTTTTGTGCTCTCTGGTTAACAAGGGTTTCAAAAGTTTTATCATTGTGGGGCAGTGTCCTATTCATCAGGGTGTGGAAGTGGACCCACCATTCAGTGGGTGAAACTGGGGTTTCTGTTGACTTAACTTTATTTTGTAGTTGGTTATATAAATCCCAGAATGCACGAGGGTTGGTTGTTTGCAGATTTTCTAGTGACCTAAAAATATTGTCCCTAAACATGTTCCGTTTTCTGTTTAGTGGTTTCTTGTACAATTTTTTCTTTTTGTTAATTTCTGTTAAAAGATTTTCCTTACAGGGGCTTTTTTTCATTGAACGTGCCGTCCTTTTAATGTCTCGAAATAGTTCCCTACAATCATTATCGTACCAGTGCTTACTTGTTTTGTTTTTTTTTACCTCTTTTCTTATTACTGGGGATTTTCTTATGTAGACCTGCTCGCCTACCTAGTTCGTCTAGGGTTTTATTAAAATCAGACAGTCTAAGTCAACCCCTTCCATTGACGGATCATAATGTTTATCTATAAAGGCTTTGACAGTATCCGTTGATTCTTTTTGGGCCAGGTGGGTTTTCCAGCGATCTGATGCCTTATTTGTCCAGTGGAATCTGGCTGGGGGGCATGTAAGGTCATCGGTATCAGCCAAGACATCCGGTTAAGAACACACCTGTGTATTTAGGGTGCATGAGATCAGACAATGGATGGAGAAGGGAGTAAGCTCATGAACTTGGAAGTACTCTATCTGATCTAGTATGGAAATCTGACATATCATGTAGTCTATTACACTAGGAAGGCCTCTGTAGCTGTAGCACGTACAATAGCCAGCAGTGTCACCAAGTTTCTTACCATTAACTAATCTGATACCTGTACTCCTACAGAGTTCGAGTAATTTCTTACCATAAAAATCTACCTCATGGGAATCCATGCTATTTCTAGGTAAATCAATGTCCCCTACATACCCCTCACCAACATCTATGTAATCATTACTATCATTCACAATATCATCAGGAGAGGTGTTCGTTTTTGCATTGAAGTCTCCTGCTAGCAGACAGTCCCCAATTTCCTGATATTTAGCTAAATCTTGTTCTAGTAACTGGAAGATATCATCTCGCTGTTGACTGAAACTACTTCCTAATGGGCTAATGTAAACACAGCATATGAATAGATCTTTACTCAACCCAAAGAACTTTTTGCACAGTTTGAGCGACCTGAATTCACTGTTGGTTTCCTTAAGGAATTTAACCCCTTTTAGTAATTTTGTATGACCCACTGCGTAGTGAGGGTCATTATCGCGCGCTTGGTGAGCACTCCCGCCATTGATATGATTTGTTATACCGGCCGTAATAAAGAATTAAATGTGCGTGGACTTTTTTAATTGATTGTAACTTTCCATGGAGAAATATAAGCTATCCTGTTCAAATAGATTTTGTATGCAAAATAGCTTATTTTTGAAGGACATATTGTCGGCTTCGTACGGCGTTGTTTCCTCGTGTTTGACCACACATTCATGCAGAGGATGAACTAACCTTTCGGCTGATATGTTGCACAAGACAGGGGTGGATTCAGGATTGTTTGAAGGGTCCCCGAAAACTTTATTTGGTATCTTAGAGGGCGAACGGTGCCATCAGAAAAGGTGCCATCAGAAATCAAGGGGGGGGGGGTGTCAGGCATAATGTAACAGGCCCCAAAATTCCAAATGAATATTTTACTCCATTCAAAAATTATGCCAATTTTGTTTATTTGGTTGGGCAATTTGGTGACACTTTTGGCTTTAACTGTTACATAGGCTACATGTATGGTTGCATATAAAACTTTCTCAAAAATTTGTGGTTGACTTGCATTCTTGTAAATTAAATAACTTTTGATTGGCTTGCTTGATTAAAAAATGTTTTGGAAAGCTCGTGAATTGCTCTATTAGATAATAGGTCTACTAATTTGGCTAATATCAATGTTTCTTCCAAAGTTTACCTGACCTCCCTATTTATCCAGATATATAGGGAATTAGGTCCCGATTAGAATAATTGCAGAAGTCTGAACGCATGATGATTTTTGTTAACCGGTTTCAGGGGCAGATCCAGGATTATTTGAAGGGGGAGGGGCGCGGATACGACGCCCCCCCCCCCCTCCCACCTTTGTCGTTGGAAATTTTTGGTATAATAGAGGGCGAACGGCGCCGTTTGGTGCGATTAAGAACTATAATTCAGCTAGTCATAATACTAATTTCAAGCGAGAACCACTGGTGTGATTTTTTTCGGAAATCGAAAGGGGGTCAGCCTCCCCCCCCCCCCCCCCCTGCGTGCTGGATTTTCTTCAGCACTTCGAATAACTTACCGAAACCGATACCTGTTTAGATCTTACTGCGCAAGTGCGCAGAAAAGTGTGGGTATCCATGAACACTTGTTTAACACTTAAAAGCGATTGCACGAAACGTATTTGGAGGTCACCGCTCTCTACAACATCGATAAAGGTAAATTATATTGCCATTTGATACGTTCCAAGAATGCTTAAATATCTTTTGAGTTACACTTGCTGGTACAAATAATAAAAAAAGAAGGCTAAAGCTGAGTACAATTAAAGCCGTAAATGGCGCCATATTTTTTGTTTTTGTTTTTTTTATTTTGAGTTTTCCTGGGGGGGGGCGCATGCGTGAGTGTTCAAAACAGGAAGTTAACCTTGAATTTTTCAACGTAGGAGAGAGAGGGGGAGAGACGTCACGTGACGCCAGTCGGCTCTCAACGACATCAATGTCTAGATGACGGGTTTCCTGGTGTCAACACGCAATGGCAGAAAGATGCACCTATAAAATGTTTGTGGGCTTGTCAGTTTATCCAAGGATTCTATGTAGATCTACTTGTAAGGGAAGTTTGACTTCATGGTACCCTGTATTCTGTGCTTTAATATTGGTGCTGTTATTGGTGTTACAGCTGTCGATGTCGGTTTTGCTTAATACGGGTAATGGCCCTCCTGATAATTACGTGGAACATGTTGTTAGGAAATTAACGGAATTGGAGTATGCTAACCTTGAAGCCGAGTCAGTATCTTCCAACAGAGCAGGAAGTAACATCATATACCTGTGTGATGCTTTTCCACATGGTTTAGGTAAGAGCCCATCCCCCCATTTCAGCTACCTCTGACCTTCCCATTAAATTTTTTCATCGCCCTAGACTTTCTCTCAAGCCCGTTTTGAATTGTAATTACTTAGTTGTTTACTCCATTTATATCGCTCACGTTAAAATATAAAATTTGACTAATAACTTCATGAAGTTCTTTGTAGAGCAAAAACATGACGCCTGTCCCTTAGTAGTTTAATCACTCTCTTGCTTTGTATAATGAGCGTTGTTTTATGTATGCCAATGTTCATTTTTTTTTTGTCGTGGCATACTTTTATTCATTTTATGTCATTGTTAGTTTGCTGAAACTAATGGTTGACATGGAGAGGTAACTAACTTTCAATTTAATGAGACGAGCTGACGAGAAATGAGGACATGCTATTGTTGTCCATAACCTACTTAAGGTCACCTTGCTGATGGCTTGACTATGTATACTGTGTATATACACGCTAGGTACCTTTTTGTTCCCATAATATAATACATAGAAGAAATTGGGGAAGAAAGCATACAAAGGCTGACGGTTTGTGATTATTTCTGTGTGAAAAAAAATCGAAGGATAAAGGATTTTCAATAAACTAATCAGAATTAAGTTCAATGAATACACCAAGGGTGTAGGAAAAACTAGAAAGAAAGCTACCTGTAGGTCAGAGCGTCCGCTCGGTAATGGGAATCGATATTTCATGCGTTAGCACTCTTATTTTTCGTTTTCTGATGAGTACTGTTTGTGCTAACATATATACATGTATGGTACATACCCAGAAAACGTACAATAGGAGTGCTCAGATATATTATACAAAGTATGTGCTTGCCCATTAAATATCGTGCCAGGTACAATAGGACCAAATAATAATAATAATAATAATAAAGTTCGACATTGCTTGTCAGTTGGCAACACAGTGGAACAATATCACACATAAGAATGTGTCTGTGAAAATTGCTAGGCGTCGGTTACATGCTCAGAGAGTGTACAGCATGGTAGCAAGACTGAAACCGCTTATATCGTTACAAAACAGGCAATGTAGAGTGAACTAGGGTCAATAGGATCTGGAACTGGACAGTCCATGACAATTGGTCCGGTATATTTTTCTGATAATTGTCGCTTTGGTCTGACCTCTGATGACAGACGGGTACGATGCTGGCTAACTGCTGGTAAAGCATTTGAACCACATGCGCTGAATTTTCGAACCCGGAGCAGCATATTTATCATTATGTGGGGCTGCATCAGCATCCATGGCGTGGGCGAATTGATAGTGGTTGATGGAAACATAGCCAACTAGCCTCGAGGTCCAACTAGCCTCGGTCTCCCCTATTTACTAATGTTAGACCATGCTTTACACGTGGGACAGACGAAACCAAAGTTTGCCCTTGAATAGTATGACCATATATTTGGGGTTTTATGTCAGTTTGATATTAAAACATCTTCAAACTCGTCACAATATTGAAAAAAGATACACCATTGCACAACGATCGTGGTGCGATTAACAGCTAGCAGTCGTTAGTTGCGATCTACTTTCTGGTATAAACAAGGCCCTTTGAAGACTCTAACACATCGTTCTAATTGCAGTACTTACCACAAAACACCAAACAACAATCAGATTTGGTCATATCAGATTGCAAACATGCAAAAATTGCACATGACAATGAGTTTCAGCCTATTTTTCCCTATTTTCTTAGACTACAATCTTATTTTGCAGAGGGGAAGATAGAACCTTTGTCACTTTTAAAAACATTCCCTGAAGTACGACCCGGAGGATTTTGGAGACCCACTGATTGTGAGCCACGACACACGGTGGCCATTGTTGTGCCATACAGAGACCGATTGGAGCATCTGGAAATATTTCTAAAATATATCCACCCAATACTGTTCAGGCAGAAACTAGAGTATAGGATTTTTATAGTAGAACAGGTAAGTTGTCCTGCATAAACTAAGAATCTATAAAGCTTGCTGAGTTTGGGTCAGATAGTGGAAATGTTTCTATATTCATATTTTAAAATGCTTTGTTGGTGTCTAATTCGTATGAGCAAATTCATATTTTATGCTATCATATCTATGTCCTCTACTGGGTGAAATATATTGTATTTAAAATATTTGAAAAGGTTTTTAAGTCATATTTTTCATGGTTGTTATATTTTATTTCAGCAAAATATCTTATGATATAAGTGATAAATCTTCAAAAGCCAGAGGAATATTTTAATTTGAAACTAAAATGTCGTAGTAAATACATATATAGTCTGATTTATATCAGTTAGCATTGAGGTTAATAAATCGAGACAAATGTTAAACATATCATTAGCGTTTCAAGCTCATACTGTACATATACAATGTACATTGTACATATATCTGGTCTCTTGTGCACCACAACTACCAGACATGATATATTTTCCAGCACTGTCAAGTGCACCCACCAACTTAACATTTAAGTGTGTCGTAAAGATATCACCTTTTCATTTTGTAAGTAGGCCGTGGAGATTATTCTTATTTACTGGTGCCATAAAAATGATCAATAACAATCCCTGTGGCACTGCATGCCATGAAAATTTGCACAAGGTGGAAATTACTTCTAAGCGATAAGGATAACTTTCCATGCACCTGAATTTAGTTCGACATTTAGTGTTAGTAATTGACAGATATTAATACAATAATTGGCAACAAAATTAAAATTGAAAAATCAGACAATGTGATGAAGTCTCCATCCACTGCTTGAGCTAGCCTGAAAGAACAAACTGTTTTATCAATATTTATAGGTGAAGTAGATTTGCTCAAGGCAACATAAATGTAGTATATGCTGCAACATTGTGACGTTGCTTAAGAGGCCTTAAAGGGCCTAACCAGGACGTAGATTGCACCTAACAACTAAACTAAACGGTCGTTGTGCAATGATTTAATTTTTTTTTAATATTGTGACGAGTATTTTAGATAGTTAAATATCAAGCAGGCATGAAATTCCACAGGTGATCAAAAAACTGACAGGTGCATGTAGATTAGACTAGCTAAAGGGTACTGTCTGGGTTAGCAAAAAAGTACTTACTGCCTTACACACATTTTTGGGATAATAGATAAATATTCAGTGATCACTGGCTAAATTGCTTAGCATTTACAGAAATGTCATTTTACCGATGGCGTAATAATTACAGTTTTGGGTTAAAATTATAAAATCGGTTTCTCAAATTTCTCCTTTATCTGAACACCCAGGAACAACGTGTCAACACCATTTTAATGGCTTCGTTGAGTACTTTAAAACCCTGCCACCGATTTTTCTTAAAAGCCTCACTTCAGGTTTTATCGTTAAGAAAGCAAAACAAAGCCTTTGCTCAATTATCATTTAATCATTTAAACCAAGATGACAGTACGAGAGTAAAGCCCATACTGGTTGTGCCTATAATTCGCGCGACAATCCGTACGCGTATTCTCCATGTACGTATTTACTCTGTACTCACGCCCCCTGCGAGACAATGGGTTGTTTTGATAAACGACAAAAGCCTGTGCGGGTACCAAACAATAGCGACGTGAACTCATACAGAGCCTAAGCGCACAGGGGGAGGAGCGCATATGTAAATTATTGTACGGGCGACCCTTGGAGACGGGAGTTCGTCCTCGCCAAGCGCGACGGGAAGTAAATTGATGCGCGCTATAATCCGACTTAATTAACAGCTTTCAACTTGGCAGTATTGCACCTTGCTCTAGGCTGAATGTCGACCTGCCGTCTCGTTGTTTTGTTTGCTTCTTACAATCAGGGGAATGGGCCTCTGCTATTTAATACATTTGGAGGATTTTTTTGTAGTTTTGGTGAATTTCTCGAGCGATCAGTCTGTGGCCCATACCAATTAACTCTTCCGATCTTGGCAGAAGTCTCCCTAATTTTGGACGTATCTACCGATCTCCCTTTTGTCTCGATACATCACACTTTTCTCTTTGTCCTTACGTTTGGAAACTTCTCAGGTTAAGTGATAGGGGTATAGATAGCACTAAACAATAAAAAGAAAATACCAACGACAAAGCCGTGCCAGGTCTTCGTGTGAGTAACATCCAAAACACTGTACATGTATGTTGTTTTCGTGGAGACGAAGCTGGTTTCGAAAGGAACCTAAATAGCGATAATTAAAACCACAGCTGGGTAAGCTACCTGGACATTGTAATAAGTGATAGATACAATACAAGTCGCCGAACTTGAAATACAACGAGCGTATTGTCGAGCCACAGGTTGAGTAATTTTCGGGTACAGCTCGGTGGCGAGTGTTGTATCTAGCTTAAACCACAGCCTCTCATCGGTTAATGCAATGTCCTCGCGATATATTACTGAATGCCAGCTGAGCGGTGGAAAATTAATTCCATGCAAAAATTCTTGTTGGGCATTAGAAAAAATGATCCAAAATGACTTACGGGTGTGTCAATTTGCCTAACGGCAAGGGCTTAAGTGTTGGTGCAAGATCGGTCACATAACTGCATTCGCTTACTGCAACTCCTTGAATTATGAAATAGATTAATAAAAAAAAAAGATCTTTAACTGATACGTGTGCAAATGCTGTGGAGGAGAGTTCGCCCAAACAAATCATTAAGGGTAAATGGCATTTGATTAGCCTTTGTCGTGAACACAATAACATCATGTATGAAGTAAGTCCAAATTAACAAAGTTTTAATTTTTTTCAATTTGCTTCATGTATTATAACAAGAATAATTATCAATGTTGTTTTCATGTGTACATGTACGTCCTAGGGATGGATGGTGGAAGTAAAAAGACTGTCATACTTTTTTTGATATCCCGCTTGTCGGCGGTGGAAATTACAATACAACGCTTTGTTTGCTGGTTAATGATCGCATTAAAGGTATACTGTGATGAAAAAACGGGTTAAAACTATCCATTAGGTGCCCAAAAGTCATTTTTGAGTAATGAAAAAAAAGTTCTTACGTTTATTTAGTTTTTAAAGACGATTTTATGCAGGTGTGAATGTAGTTTACGATACNCTTAAATGCGACTGTAGTTATCTCTCGAACAAGCTTAAAACATGCCCATACGATTACTGTGTCTGCGGCTGCCATGCAGAAACGCCATGTCAAACATATTTTGCTACAGTTACAATCAGTGTATACTAGCGACTTGTTTTAGATCACTGAAACAAGAATGCATGCATGCGATACCTGGGGGGATACAATCAAGTATGCAACTGATCTATTAATTGTGATTGCACAGTACATGTAACTAGACCTTTGTTCTAACTCAGTAGTTTGGAATAGGATGCTTAGACAAAAATCTTCTATTCAACTCGCTTAGACCTAGGTCGTGATGCTGTTATCACCCGAGGAAACACCTTCACTGAACCCCCTACCGGAAGTCCCCCTAGCTAAAACAAAAAAATGCCCCTTGAAACTGTCCATTTGTTAATCGTCAAATGATATGTGATTTCATTGAACGTCTTTGATCGAAAGCTTTTAAGTGACAATAACCTTGTGCTGAATATTTATTAAAGCGTACTGGTTGTGCCTATAATTCGCGCGACAATCCGCGTATACTCCATGTACGTATTTTCTCTGTACTCACGCCCCCTGAGAGACAATGGGTTGTTTTGATAAACTACAAAAGCCTGTGCGGGTAGCAAACAATAGCGACGTGGACTCATACAGGGCCTAAGCGCACAGGGGGAGGAGCGCATATGTAAATTATTGTACGGGTGATCCTTGGAGACCGGAGTTCGTCCTCGCCAAGCACGGCAGGGTGTTAATTGATGCGCGCTATAATCCCACTTAATTAAAAGCTTTCAACTTGGCAGTATTGCACCTTGCTCTAGGCTGAATGTCGACCTGCCGTCTCGTTGTTTTGTTTGCCTCTTACAATCAGGGGAATGGGCCTCTGCTATTTAATACATTTAAAGGATTTTTTAGTAGTTTTGGTGAATTTCTCGCACGATCAGTCAGTGGCCCATACCAATTAACTCTTCCGATCTTGGCAGGAGTCTCCCTAATTTTGGACGTATCTACCGATCCCTTTTGTCTCGATACATCACACTTTTCTCTTTGTCCTTACGTTTGGAAACTTCTCAGGTTAAGTGATAGGGGTATAGATAGCACTAAACAATAAAAAGAAAATACCAACGACAAAGCCGTGCCAGGTCTTCGTGTAAGTACCATCCAAAACACTGTACATGTATGTTGTTTTCGTGGAGACGAAGCTGGTTTCGAAAGGAACCTAAATAGCGATTTTAAAACCACAGCTGGGTAAGCTACCTGGACATTGTAATAAGTGATAGATACAATACAAGTCGCCGAGCCGAACGTGAAATTTAACGAGCGTATTGTCGAGCCACAGGTTGAGTAATTTTCGGGTACAGCTCGGTGGCGAGTGTTGTATCTAGCTTAAACCACAGCCTCTCATCGGTTAGTGCAATGTCCTCGCAAAATATTACTGAATGCCAGCTGAGCGGTGGAAAACTAATTCCATGCAAAAATTCTTGTTGGGCATTAGAAAAAATTATCAAAAATGACTTACGAGTGTGTCAATTTGCCTAACGGCAAGGGCTTAAGTGTTTGTGCAAGATCGGTCACATAACTGCATTCGCTTACTGCAACTCCTTGAATTATGAAATAGATTAATTAAAAGAAGATCTTTAATTTATACGTGTGCAAATGCTGTGGACGGGAGTTCGCCCAAACAAATCATTAAGGGTAAATGGCATTTGATTAGCCTTTGTCGTGAACACAATAACATCATGTATCAAGTAAGTCCAAATTAAAAAAGTTTTAATTTTTTTCAATTTACTTCATGTATTATAACAAGAATAATTATCAATGTTGTTTTCATGTGTACATGTACGTCCTAGGGATGGGTGGTGGAAGTAAAAGACTGTCATACTTTTTTTGATATCCCGCTTGTCGGCGGTGGAAATTACAATACAACGCTTCGTTTGCTGGTTAATGATCGCATTAAGTGGTGGCCGATTTCGCACCTTTTACATTTCATTCAATGGCAGTTACAACTGGTAGTCGCCCCTTTGTTTCGGTGTCCAGTGTTACCTAATGACTGGGTTGTAATTGACCTTCATATTAAAAACTATTCCATTTTTTGTCTAGGTCTACTAGTATACATCCCAAGAGCGTTCTCAGGCAGCAATTGTTAATCATTAAACAATAGCGATAAAGCATCGGTTTCGACAAATTTCAATCTTTTGGGCCATCAACAGTGCCTAAATATTCAAGAGCAGCAGTAAACTAAAGTAAAATAAAGTTATAACTTCTTGGGGTGAATCAAAATTTTCTCAATTAGGTGCTGGTAGGCTAATGAAAGACTAGGAAATAATCGTTTATTGCATGGAGAATTTAATCCTGTGCAACCTTCTACAAAATGAATATTTTTCACTACTGCATGGCTCGTTATTCATAAAGAATGTTTTTAACGTTTTATAAGGTTTTTGACAGATAAATAATTTCACCAAAGAATCTGCTCTCCGTTATTTGTTTTATTTAGATTTGATTCATTTTATTTAGGAGAAGTAAACAGATAAAAGTGCAGCGAAAAGAAATACAGGTAGAGGAAAGAGGAAACTATCAAGAAAAAGTGATGGGAATCCTTAATATTAAAAACATTTACGGGAAATAAGATTGATGTCCTTATCTCCCCTCTTTTTCTACCAAGCCCGCTTGCTCAAACGATTCATTCCTACTTCGGGGAAAACAAGTGATAAAATGCAGTAAATGTAGAAAAGAAGGACACGAACAAGAGAAGAGGGACGGGAGTCTTTAATATCAAAATATTTACGGGAAAAAAGTATGTGAGAGTGATCTTTATCTTCCGTCTTTCTCTGCCAGGTCGTCTTCTCCAATGCAGGTGCTCTCTGCTAGTTTTAAAAATATCTTTCTGCATAGACAGCTTGACGAATGGTGATTGAATAATTTCCAGATAAAATATTTAAATACTGTGGCAAGAAAAGGAGACGACGNATTCATTTGAAAAGAGCATCTTGCTTGTACAAAGAAGCAATGAATTAGAATGTTGTTATTACTGCAATTTTACAAAATTATATTTCTACGGTGAACCACTCCAGGACATAAATAGATCCCACTTACATGTAGTGCACAGCAGCTTGAGCGCTTTGTGGGGTATCAGCCTGCGACAAGCAAAGTTTAAATTTGTATGAATGTATTTTTAATGATATCCTTTTTCAAAAAGGCATCACTTTCACTTCTTCACGCGCACAGAGTCCTTTTTCGCATGGCTTAATTGCTGTCGACCTGCCTCCCTCTACATATAAAATTCAAGATGGCGCACGTGCAGTGACAGGTCCGCATGGCTTGACAGAATAAGTTGACCGAATAATACGCGAAAAACTTTAAATGAGATCACCATATAATGTCACGGTAAAAGACGTTAAAGAAGCCAATATACAGATAATCTTCACAACGTCTGAAGTAGTTTATTTAATTTTTGCTCATTACCTCAGACGGCACGCTCCGTGGTTTGTGACCGACACTGCATTACGTCATTTTCAAATTAACGTTGCCCGTTATGGGGGAAAATTGTAGATAGCAGGACAAAAAACTCACAAGTAGAATAAATATTATATCTTTCAAACAAAACTTTGCAAAGTGAAGCAGAGCCCGTCAGCAAGGCAGGAGATAGGACATGTGTCAGCCTAGAGAAAGGAACAGTACCGGCAGATAAGCAACTATGTAATTACGTCGGCTTATGGCAAGCGGCAATTAACTCCCCGTCGACAATGAACAGGGTGAGAAGCCGCCTCCGATGGACAATCGGGGATTGATTTGCATATTAGCGAACATAGGGCGGGCTTGACGTCTTCTCATTTTCATTGCCATTGTGTTTTAATTATCTCGTCACCATGTACCCGTACTGCTAAACGACAGACAACTTATAAATATCATCTGTGTTACTGTGTAAATGACCACATCTAGTTAAAATATAACGATGTCGGTGATTTAATCCATCCAACATATCTAAATTTGTTCTTTTAAAACCAGTGTCAGGTTAACACCAAATCAAAGCAAGCCTTGATGACTGGTTTTGTTTAAAATGTTGTAAATTAAGTAAAGCTAAATAAAGCCTGTTTCTAGTTCACAGTGTTTATCCCAGCTACATATACTACAGGGGTATAACAAGACTCCGCAGCGAATTTACTTTCACAATACTCTGTGCTTCAAGTTTCCTAGAGTCCCGTTTAATACAATAACATCGAAAAGTATAGCCTAAGTGTAATATAATTATGAGGCCGTGTATGGAAGATTTTACATTTCAGAAATTAAAGAATTTAAACATGCTACATGTAGGTTCGTGCACATCACTTAAGTCATTTCACAAAAATTGCACCTAATTGTTTAGATTAACCTCTACTTTTATCGATCTCAACGCCTTGTCTGATCCACCTGAAAGAAATATAGTGAACATGAGGCAAACTAACACGTTTACATGTATGCGAAGGGGGTATACTTCAATATTGATTGCAAACAATATCAAGAGCGATTCAACACCGTTGCCTGTCTTTCACACGTTTACACGAACACACGAAGGTCGCGTCGCGATATCTATCTCTCTCTTTCAAACAAGGGCTGACCCGAAGTAAGCTTTCTAAACTAATTTCCTTTTGATTGTGTATTGTAATTACTCCACTTGCTCGCCTCCATTGTCTTGTAAAAGTGACAAAGAATGTTTTGTTTTCACACTCGAGTTGATAGAACTTTACACAACTCCTTTCCCTTGTTACATAATGTCTTTATCAAGGTTATAATCAGTGTGAAGAGGGTGTCTGGCCTCACCTAAAAAGGCAGTTGATTTTCATACTGGTTGTTGCTTAACTCATGCTAACCCACTCTGTACAAATAATTATGGTTTCAATAAATCGACAAAATTATGACATTTATGAACAGTGTGTATCAAACGTTTTGATACGATTGAAATAAATGGACAAGAAGGATTACGGTATTAGTTTCTATTTACCTTTGGCGTTAACTTCGCCCTGCTATATAAATGAACAAATGTTGCAGATTGTAACAAAAAATTTATTATTGTGTTTTAATGACATATGCTTAACATATTTGATAGTGAAACACTACTCGGCTTTAATGAATCACCAGACGTTAACTATGTCTCCCCCTCCCATGCCTCCCGAAAAAACTGCTTCTTTTAAATTCGAAATGAATTGTTTTTAAGACAAAGAAGTTCCCTTTTACGTTTCGGTCATTGTACAGCACGTTGTAATTGGTATTTAAAAAAGTTAATTATTGTACTCCGCTTTTCAGTGTTCATCCTGGTGCTTTCATCGGGGATACCTCAGGTTGAGGTACGATTACGTCGGTAGCCTAAATCCATATTTTACTGGAATATTTTTAAGTACACGTAAAGCTTTGTGAAGTCCCTATTGTCACACATCATAGATAGGGCCTACTGAATTTTGTCTTGAATGAAAAAAATACCCACAACTTATCGTTTTGTGCTAAAACCTTTCATACTTTGGACCGAGGTTTGATATACAGTGTACTGTAGCTATAATGACATTCCTCAGCATCTAAATGAGAAACGAGGATGTTTTCCTGTAAAAGCAGCAGCGGCGGTTTAAATGATCGCTATCTCGGTTCCTTTTTTTTTTTTTTTTTTTTTTTTTTTTTTTTTTTGAGCGCAACATAGAAAGTGTTTAGGGAGAAAGTCACACAAAGACCGACGTTGTTTTGTCTTCACATTTACTCTTCCTTTTTTACTGCAATTACTATCGTCAATTCATGAAACCGATAAAGCAAATAAGTGACGACACATTGAATATAGTCATAAGGTGCATTTTGCTGAGTGTTTACAAGATCTAGCCACACATTTTATCGCCACGCGTTCTAGTCTGATAAAAAAGGGGGCGTTTATGCTGAATCGGAGAATTAGGAGATATGTCACTAAATGGGAAGATTCTCGAGGAGACCGATAGTGTTGAAAGGTCTGAATAATTTTGTTTAAATGTGAAGGCTAGCTTAGATTATCCTACAATGGATGGTATCATAATTGCCTAATATCTTCAGTGTGTGCAACAAGTGGCGCAACAAATGATAATAAAAACATCAGGAAGAAAGCGGAAAAGAATATTTTGAAATTTAAACAGTCACTCATGGCTTTGAATCTGACATCGAATTTAGCCCAAAATATAAGTAAATTCAGAATTATTAGCTAAAACGTAAATTGACATCTTCCCTAATTTGTCAGATAAAAAAAAAATGCCGGTGATCAAAGCGCAGGATATGCTTTCCTGAAGGTAGCGGCCACGAACGGCGACGGTGTTTTTCTGAACAATTTACCAGTGAAACTGTATTAGTTACGAAAAGCCTCCTTTTCAACAGGCGTGTTCTATTAATTAATTCATGTCACAGAGTAAATTTATAAAGGCAAAATTTCATTCAAGGAACTAGTTCCAAGAAATAAACGGGAGCAAAATATAAGTCAGCACACATATAGACCATACAACAATGAGTCTATATTTAGAGCATAATCCCTCCTGTTATGGGCCATCACCTTTTTTCACCGCGAGCCCCTTTAATTAATGTATTGTAGTACTTATTCTACCCATTTCATTTGATATCTCTGTTTCTTTCCCTTCCCCTTTCTCTTGTTAGAAGGAGGTTAAATAATTAAGCACTCAAAATCTGCATCACCAATCTTCAGAAAAGAATAAATGAATGAACCACTGGGCTGGTCCACAACGTCCGACACAGCAGAATGAATCAAATAACAGCTTTCACAGATTCAACTGCAGTTAGCTATATAGTGTCACTACAAATATAATCCACTGCACGCGCGAAGCTGTTGAACAAAAGGATAGTTCGCCACGGGAGACCGTTTGTTTACATAAGTACTCTAAGGGGGAGTGCCTACCCAGGCGACCAGGGGATTAGGCTAGTCACTATATTCCGTCAAAAATCGTTTGGCGACCCTATAATTATCACACTCCCTCTATTATCTGTCGTTATAATCGCATCTAATCTTCTTTTGGTTGACGGAATAAATGCACACATCCATAATATTAGGACGGTACAACGTTTTTCTGTTGTTCAGTACATATGTGATTATCCAAATGCGAAATGTTTGCGCAAATAACCAATTTAAGGGCATATTCCCATAGATTTTAGATCGATCTAGCCCCGTGGGGAGTCTCACTAGATTACTGTCAGATAATCCGGCTTAAATGTCCGTCCCGCCTACTACAAGCTGTAAGGGGGTAATTAACTTTCGTGCCCGCTTGGCTGACAGCTATTTAGCGTGAACCCACAGGGAGTTAGGTCGATCTAGTTTGGATCGATCTAATCTCTGGGAATGGGGTCTAAGATGCAATGCTCCTTTTTGAAATAACCCTTTCATGTCATCAGGTAACTGCTAAAGATGAAATTCGACTTGCTGATGTTGGGCTGACAAAACTGCAGAGTGACATCACTGGTACACAATGTGGAACATTGGTTTATATGGCACCAGAAATCCTGAGGAAGGAAAAGTACGGGGCACCTGCAGATATGTACACTGTTGGGGTCATGATTTGGGAAATGTGGTACGGAAAACGCATCTACAACCTACCTTGCTTCGAGAGCTTTGAAAATATATCAGATATTTTGGAGGTGAGTTATGAAATTATTACACAGAATGAGTAGATGTTAATTCAGTGCAAACTGAATATCATTCAAAAAAAGTATATCGACTAAAACCATTTACATCATAAAATTCATCGTACAAAAGGGGGAAATGTTCTCACTCGGGTTTAAGAGTCGGTATCCACTGGAAGCCACCTTTACAATGTAATATATTGGGCAGAGATGGTAATAACCTTATTCTGAATCTCATGGTGACTACCGTCAATGTATTCATTTACAAGTGCATGGATTTTGCCAGATTTTTTGGATTTTTAGTCTTCGTTTGATCGTTTTATTTCATATGGTCTAAATGAGAAATGAAAAGTGAGCGATAAGAAAACGCAAGCTAAGTTTTCAAGCACTTCAGTTTTACAACCTTCACTCATTCATTTAAATATTTGGGTTTCAAATACATGGATTTACCCTTCTCAATCTTCCATAGGCCAATAAACCATTTTAACCCAATATTGATCCACACTAAAAAAACTTGTCTAAACTCAAGCACGAAAAAAAATTAATCGGGATTAAGAAAGCCATGTTTGTAAACCATCATTATTAGTATCCTCTACCAGGGCCACAGATTGATTTTTCACACGGTATTCACAGATAAGTTTTAGGATAAATAGACGGCTATTTTACTATCTCTGAATCTGCCCTGAAACCGCCAGGTTAATTACATGACTGGTAATTCTATGCATAACAGCTCAGGCACTGCCACTTAACGGGCCCAAGCCAAGTCCCCTTGACAGCAATCTAGACAGTTAATTGCTCAGATTTTAATCACTTTTTTTTTGACAAATAAATATAACCCCTAAATGGCTTGTTACTAAAGATTGAAGTTAATTGACAAATTTCCTGCAGTAGCTCCCCACAGAGTGGGCACAATGTCATCTTTGCGCATGCATATTTAATTGCTTCCGTCTGGCCAAAAGTTACAGGGAGGCTTTTGGAAAATTTGCCCTTAATATCTGCCACCCTGCTAGAAGATAATAATTTAACACATTTTCCCATTGTTAATATTTTATATTGTGAGGAAAGGTTAAACATTTATTTTCATTTCCAGCTTGATTGGGCATCACTTATTACCCTTGAGGGTTTTACACCGCCGCCTCCTATATGGTGCAAGAATTTAGAAAAACTGCTTTCCCCCACTCCATCTGAAAGACCAACCGCAAGCAAAATGGAGAAATTCCTCGAAGAGGAAACCCGCAAAAGATTCCATTATAAGTAATTTCCAGAAGATTGTGGATGAAATAGTATATTATAAATTTTAATTTTTCGTGGTTATAGTTGGTTGTTGGCACTGTTTTTAATGTGAAAAGTAGACATTGCTATGTCGTAGTAGTACCGTTACAGGAAAAGACAGTTTATGTAGCCAAATGTTCACAAGCACAACGAAGCTCTGTTTTTGCTCCAAATTAAGTAGGATAAGTCCATATGACTGAAATTGTCATTTATTAATGACGAAAACTAATAAGATACAAAGTTACAAAACTGGGGAGATAATAAACATCCCCCAAACTATATAAGCGCTAAATATAAAAATAATAAGTATGTTAATGAAATGTAACCAGGATTAATTATGAAAAATATGAGAAATCACAACAGCTATAGGAGCAAAAAGTTGGCGCAAATGAAAATAAAAGGCCGAAAACTCCTGAATAATGCACTTCTTAATGTTGTGAATTTTACGAGAAAAGTGAGGGAGAGCATTAACTGTCTCCTGAATAACTGAACTCATATGCCTCTGATTAGCAGGCCCACCAGAGGCAAAGTGGCACTGTCCAAATAGGTGCCCCCCTTAATTATGTCACACAGGTGCCGCTTGAAAGTAAATAAGTCTAAGTGTTAAAAACACCACAAGGATGAAGGCAGGTGGTAGGGGAGGGTGGAGGGTGTACAAATAACAATAAAGAAACGTAAGTAATAATACAGTGTAGCTGCTAAAACTGCGGGTAAATATATCCGCAGCTACAAAGCTGAATGACTTCTCACTGAATGCAGCTCGATGGAATTAATCTCCAAAACATCTTTCATAGAATATACTTGTGTGTGCCTTGATACACAGCAGCTAAGACATTCCTTAACCCTGGACATCTGTTAACACCTTGTCTTGGT